CTAAGGTTGACCACATGCTCAGTCATAAAGCCAGTCTCAATAAATTGAAAGAATTGAAATCATACCATGCACACTCTCAGACCACAGTGCAAAAAAAAACAGAAATCAATATCAAAATAATCTCTCAAAACCACCCAAATACATGTTGGTTAAATAACTTGCTCCTGAATAACTCCTGAGTAAACACTGAAATTAAGGCAGAAATAAAAAAATTCTTTGAAATTAATGAAAATAGGGACACAACTTAGCAAAATCTCTGGGGTGCAGCCAACACATTGTTAAGAGGAAGGTTCATAGCTCTAAGTGCCTTCATCAAGAAGTTAGAAAGATTTCAAATTAACAGACTAGCTCTACACCTAAAGGAATTAGAAAAAAAGAGAATAAACTAGCCTCAAATCTAGCAGAAGAAAAGAAGAGCTAAATTAGAGAAGAGCTTAAAGAAATTGAGATGCAAAAATACAAACAAACATCAATGAAACCAAGAGTTGGTTGTTCAAAAAAAAAAATTTAAAAAAAGATTGATAGACTACTAGCTAGACTAACAAAGAAAAAGAGAAGATCCAAATAAGCATAACCAGAAATAACAGAGGCAATATTACAACTACAGAAATACAAAATACAAAAATACAGAGATACAAAAGATCCTCAGAGACTACTAGGAACAACTCTGGGATACAAATTAGAAAATCTAAAGGAAATGGATAAATTTGTGAAAGTGTACAATTTCCTGAGATTGAATTAGGAAGATACTGAAACTCTGAGCAGACCAATATCAACTTCTGAATGAGTAATAAACAACATACCAAGAAAAAAATAGACCTGAACCAGATGGTTTCACAGCCAAATTCTGCCAGATGTGCAAAGAAGAACTGATACCAATCCTACTGAAACTATTCAAAAAAAAATTGAGGAGGGGCTCCTCACTCGTTGTATGAAGCCACAATCAGCCTGATACCAAAATCTGGGGAGTCACAACAGAGAAAAAAAAAGCTTCACGCCAATATTACTGATGAACATAGATGTGAAAATTCTCAAAGAAATTTTAGCAAACTATACCCAACAGCACATTAAAGTTCATACACCACAATCAAGTAGGAAATACATGCAAAATCAATAAATGTGATTCACCACATTTATTATTTTAATAATTTAATTTAAATTAAATTATTCACCACATTTTAATTTTAATAAATACAATTAAAAGCAAAATCTGTATGATTATCTCAATAGATGTAGAAAAGCATGAGATAAAATGTAACATCTCTTTATGACAAAAACCCTTAACAGATTGGGTATTGAAGGAACATACCTCAAAATAATAACAGCCATCTATGACAAACACACAGCCAACCTTATACTGAATGGGCAAAAGTTCAAACCATTCCCCATGAAAACTGGAACAAGACAAAGATTCTGCACTCTCACATTGTCTATTTAACATAGCATTGGAAGTCCTAGCCAGAGGAATCAAACAAGAGAAAAAAACTGAAAGGCATCCAAATAGGAAAAGAAGTAGTCAAACTATCTCTGTTCACTGATGATATAATTCTATGCCTAGAAAATCCTATAAGCTGTGCCAAAAGACTCCTAGAACTCATAAGTGACTTCAGCAAGGTTTCAGGATACAAAATCAATGTACAAAAATAAGTCACATTTCTATACATCAACAATGTCCAGGATGACAGTGAAAGCAAGAACACAATTCAACTTACAACAGCCACAAAAGAAATGAAATACCTAGTAACACAGCTAATCAGGGAGGTGAAATTGCTCTACAAGGAAACTATAAACCCTGCTGAAGGAAATCAAAGATGACCCAAATAAATGGAAAAACATTCCATGCTCATGGATTGGAAGAATTAATATCATAAAAACAGCCATACTGCCAAAAGCAATCTACAAATTTAACATTATTCCTATCAAACTACCAATGTCATGCTTCACAGAATTAGAAAAAACAACAGCAACAACAACAACAACAAAAAGAACTAAAATTCACATGGAACCAAAAAAGAGCTCAAATAGCAAAAGCAATCCTAAGCAAAAAGAACGAAGCTGGATGCATCACACCACCCAACTTCAAAGTATACTATAAAGCTACAGTAATCAAAATAATATGGTACTAGTACAAAAACAGACACATAGACCAATGGAACAGAAAAGAAAACTCAGAAATATGCCACATACCTACAACCATTTGACCCTTGGCAAGGCTGACAAAAACAAGCAATGGGGAAAGGACTCTCTATTTAATAGATTGTCCTGGGATAGCTGCCCAGTCATATGCCAAAGACTGAAGCTGGACCCCTTTCACCATATACAAAAATTAACTAAACATGGATCACAGATTTAAATGTAAGACCTCAAACTATAAAATGACTAGAAGACAACCTAGGAAACACTCTTCTTGACATTGGCCCTGGCAAGGAATTTTTGGCTAAGTTCCCAAATCAATTTCAATAAAAACAAAAATAGTAAAGTGGGACCTAATTAAACCAAAAAGCTTCTGCACAGTAAAAGAAACTATTAACAGGGTAAACAGACAATCTACAGAATGGGAGAAGATATTTGCAAATTATGCATCCAATAAAGGCCTAGTATCCAGAATTTATAGGGGATATAAACAAATCAACAAGCAAGAAACAAATAACCTCATTAAAAAATGGGCAAAGGATATGAGCAGACACTTCTCAAAAGAAGACAGACAAGTAGCCAAGAAACATAAAAAAATTATCAGCATCACTAATCATCAGAAAAATGCAAATCAAAATCACAATGAGATACCATTTTATACCAGTCAGAATGGCTATTATTAAAAAGTCAAAAAAGCAACAGATGTTTGAGAGTCTGTGAAGAAAAGAGAATGTTTATACATTGTTGGTGGGAATGTAAATTAGTACAGCCACTGTGGAAAACAGTCTGGAGATTTCTCAAAGGACTTAAATAGAGCTGCCATTTGACCCAGAAATATCATTACTGGTATATACCCAAGGGAAAATAAATCATTCTACCGAAAGGACACATACACTCATATGTTCACTGCTGCAGTATTCACAATAGCAAATACATGGAATCAGCCCAGGTGCTCTTCAATGGTAGATTGGATAAAGAAAATGTGGTACATATATACCATGGAATGCTGTACAGCCATAAAAAAGAATGGAACAATGTCCTTCACAGCAACAATCCAACGTGGATTATTGGAGGCCATAATCCTAAGTGAATTAATCCAGGAGTAGAACACCAAATACTGCATGTTCTCACTTAGAAGTGGAAGCTAAACATTGAGTACACATGGACATAATATGAGAACAACAGACACTGCAGGCTACTACAGTGGGGAGGGAGGGAAGGGAGCATGGATTGAAAAACTACTTATCGAGTACTGTGATCACTACCTAGGTGACAGAATTTGTACCCCAAACCTCAGCATCATGCAATATCCCCAGGTAACAAAGTTGTATATGTATCCCGGTATCTAAGATAAAAGTTGAAATTATAAAAATGAATAAGCCTCTTAAGAAAAAAATCCCCCTTTACATTCTGTCTCGCATAAACCATGGTCCTCAAACAATATTTGGCATCATATCACCTGGAAAGCTTGTTACAGCACAAATAGCTGTAGAGTCTCTGATTCAGTAGGACTAGGATGACACCTGGAATTTGCATTTCTAATAACTTCCTAGGTGATACTGATGTTGCTGGTTCAAAGCCACAGTTGGAGAACCACTGGCCCTTATGTGTCTTCTTTAGTTTCACCAGGACTTGACCTGATAAAGAATATTAGATTGCCTCCTCATTCTAATTACATTAGTTGCAGGATGCTAATTGTTTTAATAAATGCTAAATTTGCACATAAATATGCAGATAAAAGGTCATGCCTTAATCTTTAAATTTTGAATCAGTTATAAGCCATAATTAAGATCCCTTTGACCACATTTTCATAATAATTTTGTTAACTATGAGACTGAGTTATTTAGAACTTGCTTATCCTATTAGCAGATTTTCCACATCCTAATAGCAATTTTAATATGTCATTTTATCTGTCACTACACTGATGCAAAAAGTAAGCATTTGTGAACTTTGAGAATAAACCTATGTACTATAAAATTCAATGTCAATTTTAACAGCATATGACCCTTTGATTAATTTAAACCCTTTACTTTTTATATACTATATCTATCATTACATCTGGGAAAGACCTAATGGCTTATATTTTTGGTTCTGGTTTCATTCCCAGTTTGCCCAATAGGCTGCTATGGAGTCTGCATCTTTCGTTTCTTGTTGCTTTGTCAGTAGGAAAAAGAGATTTAATCCATATCCTCTCTCCTGCTCCTTTTGGTGACCCACAGCATGGGAATTTCATATAACTGGTGACTGTGCTCTGTGTTCACTCTGTGACCACAGGTCAAAACTAAGTCACAGATTACATACTGAACCCCTTAGTATTGTTCTTCATCTTAGATGATTTTCCTTCTCCAAAATAAACTCAAAGGGTCTTTACCCACTCTAAGATATGATTTTACACCCTATCCTTTCTACCATATAAAGCCTCCTGAAGCATGGGATAAGGCAATTTTCAAAAAGGTCTGATTATACAAATATACATTATTTATGAAAGGCACTTCTCTTGAGGGTGTAGAAAATAAATTGGACTAATTGCAAATCTAGCAAAGAAATACTCGAAGGGAGGCCGGGCGCGGTGGCTCATGCCTGTAATCCCAGCACTTTGGGAGGCTGAGGCAGGCAGATCACGAGGTCAGGAGATCGAGACCATCCTGGCTAACAGAGTGAAACCCTGTCTCTACTAAAAATACACAAAAAATTAGCCAGGCATGGTGGCGGTCGCCTGTAGTCCCAGCTACTTGGGAGGCTGAGGTAGGAGAATGGTGTGAACCCGGTAGGCAGAGTTTGCAGTGAGCCGAGATAGCACCACTGCACTCCAGCCTGGGCGACAGAGCGAGATTCTGTCTCAAAAAAAAAAAAAAAAAGAAAAAGAAAAAAGAAATACTCCAAGGGATTAACTTACTTAAGAAAAATGGCAATGGCCTTCCAGAAGCCCAAGAATCCCTTTGTCCAATTTCTTGTACATTAGGGAATTGTCCTTATATAATTGACATTAAACAAATGTCTTTTGGAAAAATGTGTTGGTAAAGTATATTGAGAAGATGAGGGTGAGTACTATTAATGAAATACAGTTTGCCATTGAACAATATGGGGGTTAGAGGTACCGACCCACTGTGTATAACTTTCAGCTCCCCCAAAACTTAACAACTAGTAGCCTGCTCTTCACTGGAAGCCTTACCAATAACAAAATCAACTTACACATACTTTGTATGTTACATGTGTTATGTACTGTATTCTCACACTAAAGCAAGCTAGAGAAAAGAAAATGTTATTAAGAAAATCATAAGGAAGGGAAAATATATTTACTATTCATAAAGTGTAAGTGGAACATCAAAACTCTTCATTCTTGTCATCTTCACATCGTGTAGAATGAGGAGCCAGAGGAAGAAAAGAAGTTGTTTTTGCCATCTCAGGGGTGGAAGAATCTAAGGAAAATCTACATGTAAGTGGACTCTTTTTTTTGTTCAAAGGTCAGCTGTGCCTACTGTATGCCAAGTGTTTCACCAACGATATATCCTTTGTCCTCACAGTCACTCCTCAGGGTAGGGATGAATATTTCTCTTTTTCTTGGTTTGAATTTCACCAAAAGGAGACTGAGAGGCAAGCGTTCAAACACAAGGAGTTTATCTGGGAGGTGAAGGAAGCACCAATGAGGAGTAGGAAAGTCTGATTGGAAGGGAAGGCAGCCAGGTAGGGCGCGGTGGCTCATGCCTGTAATCCCAGCACTTTGGGAGGTTGAGGCAGGTATATCACGAGGTCAAGAGATGGAGACCATCCTGGCCAACATGGTGAAACCCCATCCCTACTAAAAACACAAAAATCAGCTTGGTGTGGTGGCATGTACCTGTAATCCCAGCTACTCTGGAGGCTGAGGCAGGAGAATTGCTTGAACCTGGGAGGCAGAGGTTGCAGTGAGCCGAGATCGCACCACTGCACTCCAGTCTGGCGACAGAGCGAGACTCCATCTCAAAAAAAAAAAAAAAAAAAGGAAGGTAGCCAGTATAGATTATGTAGATTATCAACCAGCTCACACTGTGGGCAAATGAAACCCGCAATGTAAAGGATAAGCCTAGAAGTAATCCCACCAGAAGAATGAGAAATTTGGGGTGTTTAATGCACCAACTTTCTTGGGCTTGTGGTTGAGGGCTATTCCACAGGGCATGGAGCTATACTACTTGGCAGGCTACGTTTATGAAAAACAGGCTCCAAGTTCAAGAGCGAGTTCTCCTACAGTTGTAGGTGGTTGGAATTTAGATAGTGAACAGCTGGCAACGGCTTTAAGTGGAGGCTCCTAGATTGAAACTCAGGTCTAGCTATAGTTACAATCATTGCTTTCTTGAGCATGTCTTACTAATGTGAATCTTCCCCAGGTGTTCCATGATTGAGTGACATTATAGATTGAGACCATAGTCTTTTGGAATAGCACTTCCCTATACTCTCTCCAGAGCAAGATAAGACTCTAAGAATTAGTGGTAGGCCAGGTGCAGTGGCTCACATCTGCAATCCCAGCACTCTGGGAGGCCAAGGCAGTTGGATCACCCGAAGTCAGGAGTTTGAGACCGGCCTGGCCAACATAGTGAAACCCTGTCTTTACTAAATAAAAATACAAAAATTAGCTGGGCATGGTGGCACATGCCTGTAGTCCCAGTTACTTGGGAGGCTGAGGCAGAATAATATCTTGAACCTGGGAGGTAGAGGCTGCAGTGAGCCAAGATCACACCACTGCACTCCAGCCTGGGAGACAGAGAAAGACTCCGCCTCAAAAAAAAAAAAAAAAAAAAGGAATTAATGGGAAACCTAAATGCTCATTAAGAGACAAATGGGTAAGGAAAATGTATAGATATATACACAGTGAAATATTATTCAGCCTTATAGGAGAAGGGGATCCTGTTATTTGCAGGAGAACCCAGAGAACATTATGCTAAGTGAAACAAGCCAGGCACAAAAGGGAAACTATTGCATTATTTCACTTATAGGTGGCATTTTGTTTTTAAAAAGACTTCAAATGCACAGAGCTAGAGAATAAGAGAGTGAATACCACTGGTGGGAAGCAGGGAAGAGGAAATGGGGTGATACAGGTCAAAGGATACAAAATAGCAGACATGTAGGATGCATGAGTCTACAACAGGGTCCATAACCTTTTTGGCACCACGGACCAGTTTTGTGGAATACAGTTTTTCCACAGGTGGTGGGGGTAGGTGGATGGTTTTGGAATGAAAGTGTTCCACCTCAGATCATCAGGCATTAGATTCTTATAAGGAGTGACGTAACCTAGATCCCTCGCATGTGCAGTTCACTATAGGAGGCGGAGCTCAGGCCGTAATGCTTGCTCACTGGCTGCTCACCTCCTGCTTTGCGGCTCGGTTCCTAACAGGCCACAGACAGGTACCAGTCCGTGCTGGGGGGTTTGGAACCCCTGGTCTAGAGAGCTAATGTGCAACATGAGGACTAAAGTTAATAAAATTGTATCATATTAGGAATTTTTGTTAAATAAGTTGATTTTAGCTGTTCTTGTCATACACACAAAAAAGTAAATATGTGAGATGATATATTTGCCTCCCTATTGTAACCATTTTTCTATGTCTATGTATCTCATAACATCATGTTGTAAACCTGAAATATATAGAATGAGTAAAAAAATTAGCTGTAAACTTGGCCTTAATGTTCCACGTTAAAGCCAAATGTTTATGTCTGTAATCAGCTAAATATTATATTGTACAGAAGTCCTGAATTTCATGGATGCCCGGTATTTCATGGATGCCTCATTCTGATCATAAGCTCTTGTTTATATGATTTGTGCATGATCCAAATGTGGAAAGAAAATGGGTGGGCAGTCCATTCTGGGTATCAAGCAAACAGCACAGGCACAGACCATGTGTAAGAAGCAGCCTTAGGCAAAACTGAACCAAGAGTGGTTTCATACAGGTATTCCTCTAAGTCTTTAATTTTTTACTTATTCCTTTGCCCTTTTTAAGGTGATAGACACATCATCACCTTCTGCTGCCTCCCCAACCTCAACTTCGGTGTTCTTTGGCAGAGTGTGACTTCGGTGTTCTTTGGAAGATAGCCTACAAATGAAATTTCAAAGGCTCAGCGTATAATGTTTGCTCACTAAATGTAAGCAACAGAGAACTAAATCTGAACTTTGGCAAAAGTCTATTAATAATTGACAAATAACAGAACAGTGAGGATGTAGAAAGCAATACATTAAAAAAAAAAAAACAACAACTCCATCTGGGATAACAATAACCTGTGAAAATGCTCCCCCGGCTAGTTTGTATCAATGATTATGAACAACATGCTAAATCAGTACTTCCAAAGTCTATATATGACTACTATAGGTCTGGAGCAAATGATGAAGAAACTTTGGCTGATAATGTTGCAGCATTTTCCAGGTAAGAAAATTTCTTTTTTTAAATCGTGTTTTAAAATTACACAAAGACTGTACCAAAATAAGATCTCCTAGTTTTACGTTGGTGGTGTGTAATTACTTGTTCAGATTTATGCTTGGTAGAGAGGGGAAAGTTCTTGGGGCTGTAAGAAGTCTTGGGCCTTTAAATTGTTAAAAAATATTCCAAGCCTGTGAATCTTGAGCAACTGACTGCAAGAGCCAACCCTATGTTAACTTCACTTGGAAGTATGATAACAATAATTTAACTACATACAAAAATAGCAATAAATTCGGATGACTTTTCTTTTTCTTAGTATGACAGTAAGTGCTTATGTTCATGGTGTAGGAAACAGCATTAAATGCCAGATAACCATCTTATCCGGATGAACCAGATTGGATTGTTGGCTCAAATGTTCTTTTCCTGCTGGCTTTTCGTGTTATCATTCATTTTGATCACTATTGTCTAAACTTTCACTTTAGATTTCAATTTGTCTATGTAGCATTAATCTTTCAACCTTGCTGTTTCATCTCTCCTTCAAAGCACTTCATTTCTCTTCCCAAATTAGTTTTCCCTTGACTTTCTTATTTCAAAGCAGAAGGTGGTGGGTGACATGGTTTATGTTTTCTGTTTGTAATAAAAACAAGAAATAAAATCATTTCAAAGATTTTTTTTTTTTTGAGTTATAAAAAATGGTTTATTTGCTGGAGCAAGACAGGAGAGCCTTCACTCCACTCCACTCAGTCTCATCCATCTAACATTATGGCTCTTAGTAAAGGCACTCAGTATTGTGGGTACTCATTGATGGTGATAAATTAAAGACAAAAAGGCAGAAAATATGCAGTGGGGAGATAATCAGCTTTCCTCCCTGATTTCTTCTTTAGTCTACAACAAAATCACTCAAAATCAGTTTTCTATATTTAAATTAGGAGAAATAAAATCATCCCGGCCAAGGTAGCCTCTGGTAGGCAGCACTGATTCACCCACAAATTCATGTAGAGACTAAAAATGGTGATAGGGTGAAGGACAGGGCCTCTCCCCAATCCTTTCAAGCCTTGACTTTGTCTCAAGTTTTGCCTGGGACCCAAATGAGCTCAACAAACGCCAGGGAAGTCAGGGGAAGGGAAGTTGACTGAGAGTAGAGGGGCTTAAAATTCTGCACCATTATTTACTATTTTGGACTCATTTAAAAGTTTCTGCTCTTGGAAGATGCCCCTTCTTGGGCCAACATTAACTTTGCCCACCAAAATTTGCCTATGAGTGGTCTCTTGAAAACACCTTAACCCAAATAGGTTATTACAACCAAGGAAATTTCAGACCCTTGACAGATTTATATGGTTAGTGTCTCAGCATTGCTAGGCCTCCAATGCTCAAGTGATTATTTCATGTATACACAGCCTTCCTCACTTCTTAATTCCCTTTGTCCCATGCTAGCTAATTAACTAGGGCTAATTAGGAGTCTCCGTGAGCTACACTGTGTACTACATACTGAGGAAAAAGCAGTGAGCCAGACAAAGTTCCTGTCCATAGGAGCTTACGTTCCACCGGATGCCTATCAACCTCCAGTATACTGTTGGATTGAATTGATGCAAAATGGGCCCCAAATAGTTGGCCAAGTGGAGGTCTCAGAGAGGATGCAAAGGGACGCCCCAAGGCAGATGGATCACCTATGCAACCCTATAAATTGTAGAAACTTTGGGAGACATAGAAAGTTTGGTGACTTCTAAGTTGTGAACTGGAAAAGTGCTTCATGCCTTATGTGAATTACATGGTATTCCAGTGAGTATTCCCATCCTATGTGTGTACCGAGTAACTTAGGGATAGGACACAGACAATGAAAATGAATTTGCAGTGCCACCTTTTCCATGAACCTTGATCATTCTCTTTTGTTCAGCTTTAAATTAAAAAAAAAAGTATTGATCAACTTTCTTTGGAGGACAGCTGATGCTATTTTATTATCAACTACTTGAGTTTTTATTGCAACACATTTTAGGGGTTGTTACCTAGCTAATATCTCAATTCCTCTTTTGCTTTGTGACTTGTTAGGTGACCCTTGATTCCTCACACTGCATCATGTAGCTGGTCATGTGAAACCAAGAGTAGAATTTCTGCCAGGGTTGTGGAGACTTTGGGTTGGTGGCATGAAGGAAAACAACCTGAAATTTCACATTCTGATTCTAATGAAAAGTGCAAAACAATCAAACCTCAGATAACCCGTTGTGATACAAGGTCAGAGTATTTCAAACACATTTACAAAATTTATACACCTCCCCGTCTCACAAGTACAACAAAAGGTCATTCACAGTGACAGCTTTTATTTCTCTGTACTCATCTCTGATAACCACATTTTCGAGTTCTGGGGACATGGGCCACTCGTGTCACCCAACAGTTGCTTGGAGATATTTTTCAGTAAGACTTGAGACTTTAATATTACTGTGGCAATAGAAAAAAAAATGTTAAAAAGGACAAATAAATGGAACCACCCAGAAGAACAAAATTTCTTATTGTAGTTATAACAAAACAGGGCAAATGTCAACTTGCTACATTTTGCATGGCTGGAATTGATTGCGATTAATTCAAGGAAGAACAGTAATTTGTTTCTCTTACACATTTATTCAAAGTAGCCTTCTCAACAATGGTCTTCACATGTGTCATAGCTTTTTTTCCTGAAATTATCATTGATGGAAGATAATTCAACAATTTGGACACTTAGAAGCCAGCATGATTTCAGAAAAGGAAACTCTTTTCTGCTGCATCACCTATTGATACTGAAGATTGCGTCATTTTCTTTTAAATAACAGATAGGTAAAAGTGATGTCATTCTCTCACTTTAATATTTGAGAAGTGATATAAACTTACCAGTGACATTGTGTTCTCATAGGCATAAATGTCACAAAATCATTTATCTAGTATCCACAACAGGTGAATAAGGTGTTTTTGCTTTATATATTTTAACTGTTTAGAGTAAAAAATTAATGTGGAGAAAATTGGAATGCAATATTATAGTATTACACACCTTATAAAACATGAACCCACAATGTTCAGTTGGTGTGATTCAGAAACAGCATACAGTTATAAAGCTGGGAGAGGCACGGGTGTCTTCCTTCAACAGGGCAGCTACTTTGTGAGGAGTGTGTATATCATTTGATTTTTTATAAGTTAAATTTGAGGCCCTTGTTAGATGTGTGGGGTGGGCCAAAATTCCTGTGAACAGATTCTCATCTTTACCCCACTTCCTTTACTCTGGCATCTCATTTTCTATCCTTTGAAAACGGTTTATTATTTTCCAAAGTCGAGGCCCAGGAGAGCACAGTCCGAGAATATGGTGAGGTGCTATTTTATGTATGATTGTGGGAAAGTTACTTAAATTTGGGGTGGGGTTGGGCAAGGCTTGGAAAGCTAGTGAGCTATCTGACATAGTTGCTGTTATTACTATTTGAAAAATATCAAAACATGGAGGACTCTTTAGATAACATGCATGTTCCCATTCCATTGATTTTATCTAATTTTACGTAGGAATTACGTTTTGTGCATTGGTTGACAAACCTCTGTAACATCCTCAGAACAGAAAATACTGTTTAAGGGAAAGTAAGAACCCACAGTTATTAAAGTGACTGCGCCACCAAGTGGACAAGCATAAAGCCACTGTTTGGAGATGGAAGGATTTAGCCTTGCTTTATAAATGGGAATTTGACCTTTAAAAATGTCCATTTTGGCGCGCGCGCGCGCACACACACATACACACACACACACACACACACACACACACACACAGAGCTGCTGCCCTGCAGCGTTGTGTGTTCTTTTCATAAAGCTTTCATTGTTTCTCTAGCTCTAAGTAAATATTAATGCCTTCCAAGGCTGGCTTGCCAATGGCTGCTATTAAGATCGTTTTCTCTCATTCTAATAACACACTTAGAGATGATTGGTAATAAAAACTCTCTTCAAGGCTTCTGCTTCTCCCCCTTCAAAATGGAGATCAAAGAATCATGCTGTGAGGGTCCGTCAAGAAGAAAAGACTTTCAGCAACAGAGCATGTGGTGTGACATAAAATAATGACAATTATGATGTTCAAAGGAATAGCATAGAAATCACAGTAAAACTTCTTTATTATGCTTTTCAGGGACTGGATGTTTTTACTTTATTATGTGAGGAGGGGTTAGATTACAGACCCTTAGCTATTCCACAAAGCACCATAAGGCAGAATTTCTTCTTCCGCTACAGGAAGTACACTTCAATTAAGGGCTTTTTCTTTTTCTTCTTCTTTTTTTTTTGTTTTCAAGTTACTGCGTTACTATATCGTACTTCACTATATTTACTAAAAAGTCATGCTGTTTGTGGAAGCAGAGTTAAATCTAGGTAATACTAGGTGAATGCTGGTTAGATATATATGTGTGCCTGAACAACATGTTTATTATACTGATGCATATTAGAAATAGGGCTGTATTTTCTTCAATTTTAATCAGCAGCAATGAGGAGAATAATAAATCAAAACAAACAGGAGATATATATTTTAACAGGAGGAAAGAGAACTAGTTCTCCTGTAAATCTTACTGGTGAATTTTTGGTTGCTGGTTTATTGGTACTTTTCATTCCAACACAGAAGCAGCACAGAAACAGTCATTTAAAATAATTTTCAGGAGTCAAAACCTTTTTAACCCCCAAATTTCAGTTTTTGTCAAATAACATTTTTGAGAAAAGTGTTAAGTTAAACTAATAAAAAGGCCTTCCCTCTTCATTAGACTTTAATGAATGCAGCATATAGCTCAATAATTTTGAAGAAATCAAATTATAATTTTAAAAGTAATTGCCTGAAGCTGCTGTTGATCACATAAAAAGGAGACAAACTAGACATAGCGTATCTTCTTAAACTCTAATCTAAACTCCACGCATTTGTATACCATCTTGATTTTCAAGATTGGGGAAGTGTAATGAAAACTACGTTCACACAAGAACCTATACATGAATGTTTGTAGTGGCTTTATTTAGAATTTTGCCCCAAACTGGAGGTATTCCAAATGTCTTTTAGCTTGGGAATGATTGAACAAATGATGGTGCCCCTGTAAAATGGAATACTATTCATCAACCAAAAGGAACAAACTATTGATACATACAACAACATGAGAAAATCTCTAATGCATTATGTTAAGTGAAAGAAGCCAAACTCAAAAGGTGACACACTGTATGATTTTGTTTACATGATATTCTCGCAAAGCAAAATTATTGAGACAAAAACAAAATACATCTGTGGTTGTTAGGGGATTGAATTGGGGAGAGTTTCACTACAAAAGAAAATGGAGACATTTTTGGGAATGATTGAACTTTTCTAGATTTTGATTGTGATGGTAGTTACACCATGCATTTGTATGCATTTGTCAAAATTCACAAAAGTGCAGACTAAAATGAGTGAATACTATTATATATTAATTATACTTAAATAATTGCTTGGGAAATTAATTACCCTCTAGTTGTCAACTTTCTATCCTAACAGTAAAATTGCCTCTTTTCCATTAGCTTTGTAAAGTCATTTGCTTGTTGGGAAAAAATCCAATCATATTTTTTCTTTTTAACCAAAATGTAATGTCAAAGTTTTGGTTATATTTTTGAAACTCTAAAGCCTTTTATGTTATTTATTTATTTTTTAATTCTAGATGGAAGCTGTATCCAAGGATGCTCCGGAATGTTGCTGAAACAGATCTGTCGACTTCTGTTTTAGGACAGAGGGTCAGCATGCCAATATGCGTGGGGGCCACGGCCATGCAGCGCATGGCTCATGTGGATGGCGAGCTTGCCACTGTGCGAGGTAGGAGGAAGACTGTCACCACAGGGACAGAAGGGGGCTAACGTTTATCAACTTCCTTCTCTGAATGCACCAAGCAAACGTGTTCCTTGATGTTTTTACACTCAGAAACATTAAGCTCATAGACTCTATCATCAAAATGCTTGTTCTTGCATGTCCTGCTCCTCTTCTTTCTAGCTGTGTGACTGGGCAAGATACCCTCTCTCTGCATTGGTTTCCTTGGCTGTAAAATGGGGACCAAAACTGTACCTGCCTCATTGGGTTATGGTGAGGATTGAATGAGTTCAGGTATACAAAGTTCTGGCTCAGTAACTGTTGGTTATATTATGGATATTAATAGTACTGTCTCAGGAAATGGATCTCTGACAAGTCACCCAAGGTCTCACCCAAGGTCACAGCTAGGTAGTTACAGAATTGGAATTCAGCCCTGTGGCTACCCTATCTCAAAACCCTCCTGCTTCCCCCAAATAAAAGTTGTTCTCACAGCCAAAGAGTACATGGAGCAACGCTGTTGGTTGTGTTTTCTTCCATGGTTTTGGATCATGATTCTTTGTTATGGATGAGTTATATTCCCAGTAGAGCAGTTCCAGCTGCCTTAGGAGGGAGTGATGAGAAAATCAAATAAGATGTAAAGAAATCTCTTATTAGGGCTAATGTATTAATTTCCAGTTCTCTAGCAACTGTGAACATTTGAAAAGCTATGGAGAGTAAAAAATCTCCCCAAATTCTGCTTCAGAAACTCATACAAAAGTTGGAAATGAATTCTTTTGATGCTAAGCAGGGCAGAAAAATAACACGACTACATAATATTTTCAAACATTTTAGTTTTAAGAATTAAGGATCTTGTGAATTCACCTCCCTTCTTGAAATGTCTGACATAAAATTCTGTCAGGGATATCAGAATGGCACAATGAGGTTTTGCTGGACAGACTTAGCAGCTTTCTTAATTCTAGGACCACACACAAATAAGTGGCTTTGGGGCCCCAGCCTTTTGTCTATGGTAATCCTGAAACGTAAGTAGAGAGAAGAAAAAAAAGGAAAATACTAAATGGGTTAATATCTATACAAAATCAAGATCATAAAGGCCCTTTCAGGCTTGAAACTATAGGCAACAACCTTAGAACAAAAGAAAACAAATGAACACCAAAAAACTAAGGCTTTAGTGTTCTTAAATCTCAACGAAAATAAAAAGTAAATGGTAAACTGAAATAAATGGAAAACAAAATATGAGACTGTAAAGGGTTAATGTCCTTTCCACGTAAAAAGCCCTTATATTTGAAGAAGAAAATAATATATTGCTCGAAGGGACAAAGAGAAATACATGAACAAAAGATATAAATAGGAAATTTACAAATGGAGACATAAAAGTAACCAATAAACATATGAAAAATATTCAATTTCATTAATAAGCAAAGACATGTAAATTATGACCATCTGTTTTATTTTCTGGATATCGAATTTTTATTTTAAGATCAGGCAGTATGATTAGGTTAGGGAGAAAACGTGCACTTTCAAACAGTGTTGAGAGAAGTGTAAAGTGAAATAATCTTCCTAGAAAATAATCTGGCACTGTATATCGAAGCTCTAAAAATGTAAATTCCATGTGATGCTAAAAATTCTCTTCTAGGAATTCCAAGGAAATAATTATGATTTTTGAGGAAAAAAATCATTTCTGCAAGGATTTTCATGCTTCTTATTTTTAGCAGGAGAATAACTAGAAAAAAATACCCAAACATCTCATAATTAGAGATAGTTTGCAAAAAATATGATGCATAAAAATGGCATCAAATTAAAAAATTATACTATAGGAAGAGTGCAATAACATAGAATGATATTTTAATTTAAAATTGTAAGAAATCAGTTGCAAACAAGAGTCAGGTCCTAAAATACATTTAGTTTCAAATATCGCAATTTACAAATGTTTATTTATAAGTGATGAGATTACTCCTGACTTTATACTCTTCTGATTTTTGGCTCAATCTTATAAACTTTTCTTTGAATTATTTTGTAAGGAGGAAATGATAAAAATTAGATTTGAAAGAGTAGAGATAAAGGAACAAGGGACCATGAAGAGAATGGAAATGAAGAAAGGAAGCAGAGAAGGCAAAAAGCAGAGCTCACTTAGTAAGGCACCCTGGAACCAGCAGATTATTTTTACCACATGTATTAGTTCCTTCTCATACTGATTTAAAGATACTCTTCGAGACTGGGTAATTTATTAAGGAAAGAGGTTTAACTGACTCACAGTTCTACATGGCTGGGGAGGCCTCAGGAAACTTACCACAATGGCAGAAGGCAAAGGGGAAGGAACGACCTTCTTCCCATGGCGGCAGGAGAGAGAAGTGCAAGCAGGGAAATGCCAGATACTTATAAAACCATCTGATCTCATGAGAACTCACCCACTATCATGAGAACAGCATGGGTGAAACCACCCCCACGATCCAATCACCTCCCACTAGGTCTCTCCCTCAACACCTGGGATTACAATTCAAGATGAGATTTGGGTGGAGAAACAAAGCCTAACCATACCAACACATGTTACTTTATTTGATATTTGCCAGGTGTTTCTGTCCCCATTTTGTGGGCAAGTAGCTAGAGTTACAGAGAAAACAGTTTTTCATAGCTCGTCAATGACAGATTTATTCTCCAAGTCACTTCTGATGGTTCCAAGACCAGTCTTTATTCTTGGTGGAGTTGGGCTGAGAAGAAAGAGGAGAAGAAAGCAGAAAAGAAAGCTTCTTTAGAAACTATGATTTGACAGTGTAAGTAGGACTATTTCCTTCAGAAGTAACCATAAGATGATATTAAATGCTTATTACAGTCTTATCCCCTTAGATTTATTTCACACTTATAAAGCAATTATCATGTTCCAGACACTATTTTAAGTATATTATGAGTATTATAGCATTGAAGCCTCAGAGCAGCCCAAATAAATAGGTCATATTATTAAACCTATTTTACACAGGAGAAACTGAGGCACACACCAGATGAATAATCTTGCCTAGGGATGCACAATTCATAAGTGATAGAGATGGGATTCAGATAGAGGTATTCTGTCTCCAGAATCTGGGCTCCTTACCACTTTGCAAGAGCTTTAATTTCAGAAAGTCCTATAAAGTGTCATGAGGAGAAGCCCATTGTGATCCCCTAGAAGTAATTATAGTTTTAGAATCATGCAAAACAGGCCCCTCGGCAGAATAAGTTACACAATAGACATTTGGATAAGGTGGATCCAGCAGAACAAAGAGAGGGTGGTGACATCGAGATCACAGAGGAACTGGAGAAGGCAATGGAAGTGTGCACATGCTGCCCTCAAAAATCTAGGATCCTCCATTGGGTTCCTATCAGGGAAGCAACATCAGAGTTTCTATTCTGTATTTGTACTAGAAACCCTTCTTCAGGGTTTCTAAGTTTTCTCCTATGTTTCAAAGACCATTAGGTTATTAGTCTATTTAATATTTAGGTGTATCCAGAAAGCTGACGGTCATCAGCTAATAGTAGAGTGCTCTTTGGCAGGTGTGTTTTGGTTGTGGGACAGAGGGTTACTTGCAAGGAAAGAATGAATGCCTGGAGTAGATGGTGCTTGCGCTCTGGATGTATTCCCGTCTTACTTCCCATTTCCATCAGACCTACCACTTTTTGCCTGACATTATCTCTTGCAACATGAGCCCATGAATAGGTGTGTTTGAAGTAGGGGAATGGGAGAGAGGGTTCCCTAGCTAATGATGTACAGCAGTAGGTGGATAAATACCCCAGCTCTCTTTGATCAGGGTAACGGAAGCATTTTCTAATATGGTCACCCACTCATCCTTGGAAGGATTGAATCACATTGTCCACAGTAGTTGCCTACCCATGAACATACCCTCTTTTACTGGCTTCCTTCCCATTCTTCTCTCACTTCCCCATTCCTTCAATTCACTGAGATCATTTCCAAATAAGATGACTTGCTCTCACATCTCTGTGTAATTTTTGACTTCTGGAAGTATGCAAACCAGGATAATAGCTAACTGAAGGCTATAGATAGCCATAGGCAAATTTAAGCAACAGTGTAAGAATATTCATACTTGGCAGAGATTTATTTATGAAAACTGAGAAAATTTACATGGAATTATGAAGTTATTATTGGATTTATTCCATCATTCCCAGAAAGAATATGGAAATCCTCTCAAGCAAGTCAATCCTTGGGAATATGGTGAAATCTATGGAACTTGTTGTGGAGTATTTTTTTTGTTACCCTCTTAAATATCTGGCCCCTAAGCATTCCTGTCTCCAAGGACTTAGACCCTAGCAAGGAAGAGAAGTTGGGGCCAGGTTCAGAAAACAGGGGTTAGTTATCAATCTCTCTGAAGTGTCCCCCTCAGCATGGTCAGTGAGAGTAAGTGAAACCCATTGGTGTCCACAGGCAATGGTCTGGCCTGAGTAATTAGAATGGGCCTCCAGAAAGTTCTGGGAATTGCTATGGTGCCATAGTCTCATTTTCCCAGTTGACTCTCCAGATTTATTCAGAGTTCAACTTCGAGGGCCTTTCTGCCCTTCCTCTCACAACTGTAGGGCACATCCACCTTATTAACTGGGACTGAGGACTGAACTTGACTCTTTTTTTTTTTTTTTGAGACGGAGTCTTGCTCTATCACCAGGCTGGAGTGCAGTGGTGCTATCTCGGCTCACTGCAACCTCTGGGTCCCAGGTTCAAGCGATTCCCCTGCCTCAGTCTCCTGGGTAGCTGGGACTACAGGCTTGCACCACCACGGCTGGCTAATTTTTTGTATTTTAGTAGAGACAGGGTTTCACCATGTTGGCCAGGATGGTCTTGATCTCCTGACTTCGTGATCTGCCTCCCAAAGTGCTGGGATTACACGTGTGAGCCACTGCGCCTGGCCTGAATACTACTCTTTTACACTGCTACATGGTTGTAGAGTGACCAATGAAGCTATACTTTTTTCATTTTCAAAATGATGATGAATACAAGGTTACCAAATAAAACACAGAGGGCCCATTATGTT